CTGATGGGGAGGATCGATAGGGCAAAAGGGCGCAAACTCATCATAGTCGTCAACGCTATCGTCGACATCGCTATCGTCGTCATCGCTATCGCCGTCATCGCTATCGTCGTCATCGCTGTTCATCATGTTGGTGCCGACATTGTCCTCGACATCAAGTTGGCTGCATGGACCGTCGTGATCCATTGTCCCCAGCGCGTTTTCGCTGCTGATATCGGCAATGTACTCATCAGCTACGACATTGCCTGCAGTGGCTCCATTCTGGATGCGTTGCATTTGCACGAAACCTGTACGAAATGGCATACAGGGTGATGTTAGCACAATGCGCGCGTCACCAAGTGCAAACAAGTGGCCTACCTCCAACGCCCAGTCCCATCTCGTTCAGCTTGCGCTTGCACTCGTCTACCAATCCTAGACAGGGCGGCGCATTTTGCTGACGACAAACTTCAATCACTTGCTCAAATTTCAGCTTCAAAGTCTCAAGAATATCAATCACTTCCGAAGCACCTTTGATGGTTGCCTCGCGAACTGCCTCGGGTGAAACATCCCGGACAGCTGGTATCTGTGAAGGCAACCGCTTGCGCTCGGGGATCATTTTGAAGACGTGCCGTTTCACAGCCTCGATGTGCCTGCATGTCCGGCTGGCCTCCTGAGGTGCATTGCGCTTCTCAAGAAACTTGTGGCAGTTGCATTCAAACAATCGTGGGACTGATGCTCCGCTGGGGTGAGGGCTGGTGTCGACGACGCGCTTGACAATGTATTCAATGTCCTCGAAGAGGGTACAGCACACTGAAAACGTGTCCTCGTGGTACTCAAGCTCTTGTATCATCTCAAGTGTATAGGCGTCACGAGCCCGCCGCAGGTACTTTCTCAAGTATCGGTCACGGCGGGTCCGTATGTTGCGGTACAGCTCAGAGTTGATTTCGTGCTCAAGCATAAATGCGTGTTCACACAATTTATGGATCGTATAATCCATGCGCTGCCCTCCATGGTCTCGAACGTGGCGCTACGGTGCAATGAGAATGGACGGGCGAATTAGCACAGAGAAAAAAAGGGGGCTCTCCATTGAGTAAAATAGCCAAATGACCGCACAAGACCTTGTAAACGCTGTGGAAGCTCTCCACAAAGTTGTTGGTCGTACTGCAACCACGACGGGCATACAAAGCCCAACTTGCCTAGAAGAAGCAAGAGCAACGATGAAGCCGGGCTGCTCACAAACGAATGCGCAGATAATTACGGGCGAGATACATACGACATTGGCATTGTAGGTCTTGTCAAAAAAGGCCCACCACGAGCCTTTGGCAGCCTTGCCAAGTGGCACTTCAACATTTGCAAATTCCACGCGCAACGCAGCCAGGCAAGCATCGAATTGCTCCTTGGTCGGCAAATACATGAGTGCTCGCATCTTAGCCATAAGCGCGCCGTGAGCCACGAGCCGGCCTTTCCAGGCTCGGAGAACATGGAACGTGCACCAAAATCGACTCATTGGTCGAAAGGCCTCACCCCGAAGATGTTGAAACCAACTCAGCCCAAGCTGAGCGCCATCAAAGAGGCAGGACTGCATGTCGGTGACGACATGAGTAGGGGTCGGG